TGGATATCAAGAAATACTATGATATCATCCAAGAAGATCGAGTTTATATTTTCTTGGATGGTTTGGATGATCGACTTGACAAAGCCCGAAGTGACGTGCTCCAAATGAGTCCATTTTCTACAGTAGAGCAAGCCTATGCTCATGTTTGACGGGAAGATATTCGACAATCTGTGATGTTAGGAGCTCCAACACCAACCGGAGTAGGATTGGCAACAAAAGGAAAATCGACCTCTCGCCCAACACCAACCCCAGTTACTGCTTCTCTCCAGCTATAGACCACTACCAACAAGACTACTCCACCACCTTCTCGACCAAAGGCTCCCACAGATGGGAATGGTTGCACTCACTGCGGGAATCCAAAGCACACTCAAGAAATCTGTTTTAAATTACATGGCTATCCAGATTGGTGGGAGGGTCTCAAGGCTCGTAAACTTGCTGCTGGTGGAACGGGTCGTGCTGCCCTTGTCACCATGGATCCTCCGATAACATTAATTCCTCATGAAGAATCTACCTCAGCACTAGAAAAGAACTCTTCATCTTTTAGTGACTCAGGTAACTGTGGATATGTATTTCATACATCATATACAAGTGACTCCACATGTTGGATTATTGATTCAGGAGCCACATATCATATGACGTTTGATCCAACCGATTTTCTAAGTACAACTACACCACAACGAACAAGTATTGCCAACACAAATGGTGTTACTTCTCCCGTGGTCGGTGCTAGAACCATTGGCCTCTCTCCATCCCTTACTCTTCAAAATACTTTGCTTGTCCCATCGTTGTCTAATAAATTGATGTCTGTTGGCCAAGCTACTGAGCAACTAAATTGTTGTGTACTCATGTATCCCGATTTCTGTCTATTTCAGGATATTCTCACGAAGGAGATCATTGGTCGTGGTACTAAGAGAGGGGCGTTGTACTATGTGGATGATTTCAGTATGGGAAAAGCAAATAGTGTGAAGCACTCGACTACTTGGAAAGATCAACAACTTTGGCTATGGCACCGGAGTTTGGGGCATCCGTCTTTTGGTTATATGAGACATCTATTTCCAGATTTGTTTTCAAGCACTTCTACCACTGATTTCCAATGTGATACTTGTATCTTAGCCAAGAGCCACAGAGTCTCTTATCCATTAAGTACAAATAAAAGTGTTGCTCCATTTGCTTTGATACATTCTGATGTTT